TTGGAGGAAGCCGTTATAGCTCTCTGAGACTTCCCCTACAAAGAGGAGGGCAAAAAGGGCGCTGGGAGGGAAGAACAGGAATAGAGAGGAGGAAGAGGGCAATTCTCCTGTTGGCCTGGTACTTCCCAGCTGTTGTTGTCAGTCAAATCCCACTGGTCATTCAGCATCCATTCGGGCATTTGCTGGGCGCCCACTGTGTGCAGGGCAGATCCAGACTCTCCAGAGGAAACACAGAGGGTGAAAAGCCGCCATCTGTCCCCCAAGAATCATATGATCAGACCCTGGCAGTCTGGTGTGCCTCTGGGCCTGCATGTGTCTGCCTCCGAGAGGGCGAGCTTCGCGGACACACCCCACTTCTAGTGCCCTCTCTGCCAGCGCTTAAGGCCGGTTAATGCTGGGGGGCTGGTGAGTAGGGAGGGACCTGAGAGCCCTCCCGGCGCCCTCTCGCGCACCTGGGCGAGAGGCCTGGGGAAAACTGCGCACCGACCCGCCGGCCCGGACTAGGGACCTGCCGCGTGGGGGCGCTCGCAGGCGGACCCCGCCCACGGAGGGCAGGTAAGGGACAAACAGGCCCCCTACCGCCCAACAGGAAAAAAACAATCACCCGGGGGCGTACCTCGGCAGCTCCCCGAACCCAAAGCCGAGAGCCTGGCCCCTCACCCGCGCACGCACCCCTGCCCAACCCCCTTCCAGGCGCAGGGGTCCCGTGTCCCCTGCCATCCCAAGAGGGAGTGAGCCGCGGGTAGGGAGGGGGGCCTGGACTGAGCCGTGACCGCGGGCGGGAACGAAAGGCCGCGAGCCGCGTCGGGAGTCATCGGAAGGCTGGCAGCTCCCCGGCCCTTGGTACCCGCCTCAAGTCCTGCTGGGTCCTGGCGCCGCCTCGGGCCCATTCGCCCGTTTACCGGCCTCTCAGCCGGCCCGGAACCCTATTTCTCGCTCTTTTCGTTTGTGCAAGATCTTCCGTGATCCCGCGGCCTCCAAGCCGCTTTCTCGTGAGGACCCTTTAGGCTGCCGCGTGGGTCAGAAGCAAAAGGCTCAAGGGGAACCCTGCTGCTCCGGTCCTAGGGCGCTGGTGACCATGACAGCCACTTGCGGCGCGAGCGACGCCCTGTTTCGGGACGTTTCAGGAGGGCGGTCACCCGGATCCCAATGCCCAAAACTTTGCCCGAGTTCCGGGCGCAACAGGGACCATTCTCTGAAACGCAGAATTCATGTGCGAGGACTTCCCGCGCCTTGACCTGACTCAAACGTTGGGCGACACAGGAAACTGTGGGGTGTGGGGGTTTGCAAATATCTCCTCTGCGACCTCCCGGCCGCAATTGAACCAGCGGGTGTAAGAGGCAGCCCGCCAGGCAGTGGGAAGGCGCAGCCCCAGAGCAGCCCCGCCACGCGCCGCCTGTCCGCTTTCAACGAAATGTGCTTCCGAAGCCCCAGAGCGAGGCCGGGTCCCAAAGAGTGTGCGCCGGGAACCTTGGGCTCTGGAATCATGGTCGCCCCCGGGGCTCGGGGCTCCGGGCTCCCGGAGGGCTGACGCCTACTCCCACCACCACCCCAACGCCACCCCACCCCCACCCCCGTGGCAGAACGCCGCGGCGCTCTGAGCCAGTGGTGCAGTACAGCCTGGAAGGTTTGAGGCTGACGGCGCCCGGGCCTGAGTTGGCCCAGGGGATCTCTGCAGCCTTTATAGATTGGAAAAGTAAAGATAAAAAAAAACTTTCAGATCGTCCCGTTTGACACTCAGCTCTCGCCCGTACTCTGGGGGCCTTGGAAATAGCCGGCAAGCAGCCCCTTCTCCTTAGGTCGCCCTCTGCTTTCCTCAATCTCCCCAAACCAAAGTCAGGGAAGCCCATGAGGGCTGAGGTGACTGTTTCCTCCCTTTTCCTAAAAGTTCCTCAAGTGGGCAATGTGCCAGCCCTGGGCTGGGCAATGGGTGCCATGTGTGGCAGCCCTCAAGCCTTGCTCTGGGGAGCTTCCCCCAACCCCCAGCTCCAGACACAAAGGCCCCAGACTGTCCCTGACCAAGAGTCAGGGCAAAGGCATTCCATCAGTGTGAGCTCTTTGAAGTACCCTCATCCATCCCTGCTTCTACCTTCCAGAAAGTCCCCCAGGAGACTTGTAGCACACCTTGGAGATGAAAGGAGACGTTTCAAGGAGGCCCAGAATTCCACAGGTCTACAAAAGTTTTCTCCTCCTCAGCCCTCCTATTTGTGCTTCATGAAATGGCAATTGCAGGCCTCTCAGATATATTTTAGGGGAGAAAGGAGTCCTGGATTCTGTAGATTGGGGTGGGGTTAGAACCAAGGTGCCTGGCACCCTCAGGCCTCTCCAGCAGCTGCTCTGAGCACTGGAACCTGGAGCTGAGACTGCCTTAGAGTCAGGCTGGCATCTATCAAATCCTCACCCAGATACTGCCCAAGTGCTCGGTCCTGTGGCAAACACTGTCAGCGAGGGGACTGCACAGTGTGAAGAGACCCTAGCTCAGCTTGTAACCTTTTTAGGGCAGGCACTCAGCTGTAGATGCTGGCAAGAAGTTCTAGCCCAGACCTGCTAGAACCGGTTTCCTGCAAATATGGGGGGAAGGGGAGAACTAGAGGCATATGGACACACACCCATACTTTGGGTAATGGTGTTACAGGTTTTCTGTACTTGCTCTGCAATGACTTTTCGTATGGCATATACGATATTATCCAAGGTGGCAGGTCCCCCGTCTGTTCTCCTGGCAGGACTGACTCTTGGGCTTATTGCCTAGGGGCCACAAAGAGGGCAATGCTGGAAGAGGCAGGGAGTCTGAAGCTGCAGAAAATCTGCCTTAGTTGAACATGGGCAGGATGCAGTCCTGAGCGAAGTTCAATCTTGAAACTACAGGAGTCCAGTCAAAGTCTTATTCACGGAGGAAGCTGTTGCAAAGATTACTGGCTATTTCAAGGTTAGTATTCTTAGGCCCACCCCAGCCCAGAGGCAGCAGGGACCTGAAAGATCATGCAGGCTTCATCTAATAGCTTGAGAAAATGAAGTGGTGCAGACCACAAACTGGCCCAGAGTCTCATACCAGGACGTTATTGCCCAGCACCACTACCCACACCAGGCCAAGGTGCTCCCTCACAGCCCCAGCCTGATATTGCCAAGATATAAGATAGTCACGGCCACTGCTGGGACCTGCTCTCATTAACCATGTGGCTGCAGAAGAGATCTCGGAAAAAATACATTGCCCTTTCTTCAGAGTCAGCAAGGTGAGCCTAACTCTGTGCAGCCAGAGGTAAATACTGTCTCCCAGAGTCCTCTAAGCTCTACTCTGGGTGAAGCCAGTGGGGCAGCGCTCAGGACTCTGGATAGTGTGGCCTGGACACAGCAGGGCTCTTCCCAGCCAACAGATACAGACTCTGAAGATGCCACCTGGATTTCTGCAGGAAGCTGTTTCTGGCACTGGCTTGAAACATAAGCTATGGTTTCAACACAACAGGGCAGGCCCCCAAGAAGCAAGAGTCTTAGGGAGAGTTTCACGGTCCCATTCTTTCATGTCTACAACTACACCAGAGGACATCTGGAACATCAGAGTGCAGGGCAACATTTTGGAAATCTTCCTAAGGAAATGGACACTTGGAAGAATAAACACAAGCCTTGTCATAGACAGTAAGCAAAGTCAAAACCTGATCCCAGGGCTCTGGACTCCTCTTCCAGTGCTCCTAGCACAAACTCCCTAGAAACTTTAAAGTGATGGGAACGAAGAAATGTGGCCTGGACACAGGTTCCTGCAGTCCAAGGCTCTGGGCTGGCTTGGGTCATGGCACTGGGAGCTGGATCAACTCTTGCCTGCAACAACAGCCCTGAGTGAAAAGTGGTAACGGAAGCGGAAAGGACTAGTCCGGGAGAGAGCTAAACCGAGGTCTTTTCAAAACTAGAAACTGCAGCGACACCCCTCCCTCAACCCCAGCTCTCTCATCCACTCCCAATGCCCTTCTCCGTCAGCTCAGCACCACGTGTTTCTAGGGGTGCCCTTACAAAGAAGCAAGAAAACAGGACCGATCCTCTTTTTTAAGATCCTCATTCCGGAGCTCGGCGACCCGGTTCCTATGCTATAAGTGGTCGGAGCCGAGTCCGACTGGAGCGCTGGAAAATTGGGGTGTTTTTCCTGCACTCTGTCCTCCCCGACCACCCACGGGGTAAGCGCCACGACCATCCTAGAGTCCCTCGCCTTGCCACCCGGTGGGCAGACTGCCGGCGCTGCCGACCAGAGCCAACTTCCGCAGAGGCCACACGGAAGTGCGGGGCGCTTCTCCGGCCGTGGGACCCGGAGGTTAAATTTGAGTCCCCGCCCGATGAAAAGCAGAGAGCACTGGGTGGGGCAGTACCGGCCGCGCGGCAGCCGGCCCGGTTAGGAGAGGAAGGAGACAGGATCCTCCTAGAAGTAGATTCTCAGGCGGCCGACTGTGGCCACTGCCAAATCTTGCCCACTTCTTTCTCCTACACCCTCCCCTTCTCCCTCGAAGAACTCTCTAGTCCGAAGTTCCTACGATGGGGGAGGAGAACGCCGACAACAGGATAAAACAAATCTTTGAGGGGCGCCCGAGCACGTACAAACTCTCCCATCCCGCTGGCCGGCTCCTGGGCAGAATTTACCCCCCCAAACGGCAGCCCCCGGGAGGGAAGTGATGACTGGAGTGGCGGCAGGCAGTACCCGGCAGGGCCTTGGAAAAGCCGCCCAAAGTTTCTACCCCCTCGAGGCTCTTTCCACCCATCTTCCTCCTCTTCCTCCCGCCATCCCCTTAAACAGCCCTCCGCCTTCTCTTCTTCCCTCCTCACCTCGTTCCTCCCCTTTTCCTCTCCCCGCGTCTCCACTCTGCCACCCCCACCCTGGGTCCGTCTCCTCCTCCCGTGCTCTTTGGGCGTCCGCCCCGTCAATCACAGTGCGCCGCGGCCCCTACCCGGCCCTCTCCGCCTCCCAGGCTTTTGGAGCGCCTCCCGCTCCAGTCTCGGGCGGCCCTCCGCTTCGCGCAGAGCCGGGCAATCTGTCAGCGGAGCCGGCCGGGGGGGAGTCGCCCGGCCCGCCGGGGCTCGGGTTACCAGTGACTGACAGTGTCTCCATGGCGAATAATTTGACTCCGACTATTGTCTGGCGCGGGCAGGCCCCGGGTCAGATAACCAGACCAATCAGGGCGCGGGCCGCCGCGCCTCATGCCCGCTTAGAATAATATTATTAAAAAAGCAGCAAGCGAGCTAGACGGGAGGGAGAGCGAGCGAGAGGCGAGCGAGGGAACGGCGGGCAGGCGCGGAGCATGCAGAGCGGCGCCCCGGGCGGCCCCCGGGTTTGGACGAGGGCGCAGACGAGGCGCGCAAGCGCCGGGGGCTCGAAGCGGCGCGGGACCCGTGACTGGCGCGGGGACTTACTGCAGTGACTCGGAGTTCATCAGGAGTCCGTGCCGGGCCAGGGGGCCCGCCCCTGCCGCCTTTCGGCCCGGACGGCCCGGCGGAGAGGCGCCCATGCCGTACCGCGCAGCGCGGTGAGGGGCGCGCGGGCGGGCGGGGGCGCAGCCGGCACCATGTCCATGCTGCCCACCTTCGGCTTCACACAGGAGCAAGTGGCGTGCGTGTGCGAGGTGCTGCAGCAGGGCGGCAACATCGAACGGCTGGGCCGCTTCCTGTGGTCGCTGCCCGCCTGCGAGCACCTCCACAAGAATGAAAGCGTACTCAAAGCCAAGGCGGTGGTGGCCTTCCACCGCGGCAACTTCCGAGAGCTCTACAAGATCCTGGAGAGCCACCAGTTCTCGCCGCACAACCACGCCAAGTTGCAGCAGCTGTGGCTCAAGGCGCACTACATCGAGGCGGAGAAGCTGCGAGGCCGGCCTCTGGGCGCTGTGGGCAAATACCGCGTGCGCCGCAAGTTTCCGTTGCCGCGCTCCATCTGGGACGGCGAGGAGACCAGCTATTGCTTCAAGGAAAAGAGTCGCAGCGTGCTGCGCGAGTGGTACGCGCACAACCCCTACCCCTCACCCCGCGAGAAGCGCGAACTGGCAGAGGCCACCGGCCTCACCACCACGCAGGTCAGCAACTGGTTCAAGAACCGGCGGCAGCGCGATCGGGCAGCCGAGGCCAAGGAAAGGTACGAGTAAGTAGAGCTTCGGTGCCAGTTGCCCTGGGCTCAAAGGGAGGGGGATGCCCGGCGTCCGCTCACCCCCGGGAGAGGCCTAAACTGGGCCTCTAGTCCCAGCCGCAAACCAGCTGCAGCCTGGTCTGACTGAGGCGGCGCTGAGAACTTGCAGGAGACCAGGTCCGCAATTTGTCTAAAGCGGGCCGAGCAATCGGGAATTTGTCAACTCCCTAGTCGCTCGTGAACAAAAGAGGAGTTGCAGCTAGCTTCGGGGTGAAGGCAAGTCAGTGGGCCTGGATCCCCTGCCAGGGAGTACATAGCAGGCAGGGCATGGTAGTCCTCCGAAGGTCTGAGCTGAGGATTTCATGCTGCCTGTGAGAATTCACCAGCACTTCACTGCATTTCCTGCCTGCCTCAGCTCTTAACCAAAATGTGCTTAGGACACAGGCCTGGGATTGGAACTTTCCTGTTATTACCTGGATGTTGGAGGGACCTAGGCAAGAATTTTCCTTGTCTGGATATAGGAGTTGACAGAGTCTTTTATCCCGCATAGGAAGGACCAAGAGGCAAAAGGCTTGGAAGGAAGTATCTGCTCTGGGAGAGAAGAGAAACACATGCCCCTTTTCTGCCTTGTTGGACCCAGCAGCCCTTCCCTGGCCTGCCAGGTCCTTGATCCCTTAGTCCTCAGGCCCTTACCTTCTTTGGTGGGTAGGTCAGTAGGTCTGGAGTTAGCTGAGAGAAGCAGAAGGGCTGGGAGTTGTCTTCAGGAAAACCAGGACTTCTTGAACTAGCCTAATAGTTGACCATTAGGCCCTTGTGGCTCCAGGACTCCAAATCTGGAGGGGGAAATAGGAAACTGCTGTGAGAACAGGATCCAGCCTGAGTGTAACAGCAAAACAAGACACCTAGGGCCAGTGGTATTGGATCTGTACAGCCCAGAGTGAACAACCAGAGTCAGGGTCAGGGTGCATCCATATTTGGGGACAGGGGCTCAGGCTGACTCTCGTTTCTAAGTCCGTGAGGTTGGGATGTCTACAGTTGGTAGGGTCTCAGCTGCCAGCTCTGTGGGAAGTACCCTTCCAAGAAAACAGAAATAAGAGACCTTGGGAAGCCAGTGAAGAGAGGATCTACCCAAGATTTCAAATCTTCAAACCTGGGCAGAGGCTGTCAGTCAGACAGGGCAGGAGGTAGGTTCTCCTCGTTGTGGTCCCCCTCCATCCAGGCTGGCATGCATCCAGACTCCTAAAGAAATTGGTTCTCAGGCCAGGCTGCAGGTGAGGGCTGCAGAGTCCCTCAGTTACTGGTATGGCAGAAAAGTCTAGGCCAGGATTAGTAATCCCCTCTTCTTCCTCCTTTCTTCTTCCTTCTCCCAGAGGCTGCCTTGCAAGCCCCCAGCTGAAGTTTACACTGTATCACCAGGGAGAGGGAATCCTACATCTTTAAGGCCTTGTCCTTAGTCCCAGGAAGAGAGTCTGCACAAAGCCTGACCATTTAGAGCTAGAGGGGGAAAGGACTCTTAGCTCTAGGAACCTGTCCCCCAGTAGGGGATGTCCCTCAAGCAAAGGAAGATGAAGGCCTGTGAAATCTCCAACTTCAAGTGGGGACCCCAGCCTAGGATATAGGGTCCCTCACTCTCCCTGGCCCCACTTCTACCCAGCAAACCCTGGCTTGAGGAACCGAGAATTATCTGAAAATCCAGGCATCTTCTCTTCCTCCCTGTCCCCACCACCCCCCCAACTCCATTGAGCCCCACTTCACAGCCCCTCTGCTCTAGGAAAGAAATATTAGCAACACAGAGGGGGAGGGAGGTGGGAGAATATCCAGAGAACAGGAAAGATAATCATGAGTTTAAGAGCATGAGAAGTAGGGAGATAGAGGCTATAGAGGGAGAAGGATAGGAGAGAGAAATCGAGTACAGAGAGATTGAAGAACTAGCAGAATGAAGGAGAGAGGCAGGCTAGGCCAAGAAAGTGGTAGAAACCGAAAACAGCCGCAGGCAGTGCAGCGGTGCCGCGTGCTAGGCCAGCAGCAGTCTCTGACTCCAAGTGACTCAGCACAGAGCGGCCTCGGTTTCCCCGCTGACCTGGCTGCTTTGCTCCTGCACTTGCAGAGAGAACAGCGAGAACTCCAACTCCAACAGCCACAACCCGCTGGCTGCATCGTTGAATGGCAGTGGCAAGTCGGTGCTAGGCAGCTCGGAGGATGAGAAGACGCCTTCCGGGACGCCAGACCACTCATCGTCCAGCCCCGCACTCCTGCTCAGCCCGCCACCGCCACCCGGGCTGCCTTCCCTGCACAGCCTGGGCCACCCTCCCGGCCCTAGCGCCGTGCCAGTGCCCGTGCCTGGTGCTGGTGGCGCAGACCCACTGCAGCACCATCACGGCTTGCAGGACTCCATCCTCAATCCCATGTCTGCCAACCTCGTGGACCTGGGCTCCTAGAGCCCCACCTGCCTCGAAGCGCTCGCTTGCCTTCTGGGCTTGGCACTGGGGATCTAAAAGACGGTGTCGGGAGGGTGCCCTGTGCCAGTGACCCCACCAGGTACTGAAAGACCCCCACGCTGAGCAGGTAGAAGCGCCTGTCCCCACAGGGTGAATGGCTATTCGGTTTGGTCTTGTCCGGGATATATTTTCAACAAGTTGCTTTGGAGATCTTTTGGAGGCCTAGACTGCGCCTTGAACCAGGGAAGAGAATAAATTATACACCAATCTCATACTTTCGCTCCCTACCTTCTCATCCCGCGTCTTCTCTCCTCTCTTTGCTCCCCTTGCCTTGTCTTCCCATCACTTTCTTGCTCTTTTTTCCCCTTCTTTTCCATTCCTTCTCTTCTCTCTTTTCTTTCTCTTCGTGCTTTCCCCCTCTTAATCTCTGTGTCCCTCTGTGTTTCTGGCTTGTAACCTCTATCACTGTGTTTTCCATTTCTCCTCTCTGCCAGCCTCTTGCACTCCTGGCCCCTTGGTCTGTACCCCTGCCTGGCGGTCTATTTGCCAGTCACCCAATCCCTCATTTTGCTGGGGTAGCGGGTGGGAGAGGAAATAGTGAAGGGAAGACAAGGCCTTTGAAACCAGACCTTGTCCTGAGGCCCTTCCCCAGGGCTCAGCAGGGGCTGCAGGTGTCAGCTTTGCACCTGGTAAATTACTAGAAAAAGAGAGAAGAATCGGCTCAGAAGCCCCTAATTGCCTTCTTGCTGCTTGCCCCTCTCTTAGTGAGGTCCCACCATACTCTCTCTTCCTCCAGGGACTGTGGTCATAGTGCTCCCGGCAGAGCATGTCTCCCGCCCGGACTTGCCGTCTCCCTGTAATGCCCTCATGTGAATGTTCTTGGGGAAATATTTCTGCTTTTATTTTATAATAAAATTAGAAATCATAAATACATATATATATGGATATATACCACGAGGCCAGCGAACCGGGAGTGCAGCAGTGTCTGATATCCTTACAGGGACTGAAAACCCCGGGTGGACGGTTCTTGGGAGCGATACCCCCGTGAGTCCCGAACACAGGAGACGCCTTCCCACATGCACAACGTGTATCAGTCTTAAGGTGAAGGGGGTGAAAGCTCCCCTCCCTTAGAGCCCTCTGGCCTTTATCTTGTCCGAAGCTCTGTGCAGTAGCAGGGAGGAGGCGGCCTGCTCCGCTTGGGACCCCTCTTCCCCGCGCCAGCAGAAGAGTGTCTTCACTCTCTTCTTTCTTCACTTCGGGGATCGGGGTAGGAAATGAGAAGCTGTATGCGAAACGTGCGTACTTGTGTTTGGAGATGCCGGAAAACAAACCGTGCGGTGGAGGTTTCCAGAGGGCAGGCAACTTAGCGGTGGTCGCAGTCTCCTCAACCAGTCAAGACTCACCGGCGCAGATTAGCTGTGAAACCGGGGTCGAGCCGTGTAAGCAGTGAAGCAAAGGTCTCCAAGCTCAGAAGTCTGTCGGTTTGGAGTGAAGATGAAGGGATGTGGGAGGAATAAGACACGGGGAGGGCGCGTGCGTGTTCCGGGAACCAGCGGGCTCCGGGGCGTGGCTGCTCAGGCCGAAGGGGTACCTCGGCGGGTCCAGAACCTCAGGTGTCAGGTGCTTTGGCGGTGTCAATTAACTTGCAGAGCTCCCTCCCCTCTGGGGGAACCAACCCCTCCCCCCCTTAAGATACACGTCTAAGCCTGTACAGGCAGATCCGAAGCGAGCTGGACTCCTCGAGGAGGAAGTGGAGACTTTGCCGTCTCAGGTCGCGGTGGCTATACGTACCGAAAAAGTCCCTGCTCCCGCATCAGGACGCTTCAGACCAGACCTACCTGCTATGCACGGGAAGGGACGGAGGGGATAAGGAATCCATCCTGCGGTTCTGGAGCTCGGGGTCCTCTCCGCGACTTTTCTCTGCTGAAATCAGCGCTCGCCGAAGACCCTTAAGCGCGGACTTTCTAAATATCAAGGATTCCTTCCCAGTTGAGACCCGTGCAGACGCGGGCAGCTGGGCGGGCTAACTTGGTGCGGGAGGCTACACTTGGGCCTTACGCTCTGCGAAGGCCTGGAGGTCAAGGGAGTCCCGCCTCACCGCAAGCTAAGACTGCTCCGGGCCAGGGCGCACCAAGCGCCCCTTACACCCCCGCCCCTCGTCCGTTCCTGCACCCGTTCTAGCCCTGCGGCTCCCCCGGCTTCTCCTGGAGGCTCTGCTCTCAGGGGACAGCTTAGGTCCTCCGGAGACCTGATCTGTGCTTGTGGGGCCGTAGCAGCCGAACCTTCGCTGACTGACAGGGTGAAGAACTAGCTACGGCCTGAGGGTCCGGAGAGGCTCAGGGAACGCGAGAAACTGTCTTGAGTCCTCCGAAGTGAGCCGACAAGCCGGGCTTACTTCTGCGACGGAAGGAAACAGTAGTCTCTGGGCCTGCATCACCCCTATCCGCCCCCTATTTTCCAGACTCACACTCACAGGCAAACAGGCTCTGTACTTTCACAAGGACACAAACTTACGCATTTATAACTCAGTTCACTAGGATTGAAAGCCTGTTATGTGCCAGGCACTGTGGATGTCAGGCAAAACATCCAGTTCCTCACACGTAGTGGCGACACAGGGAAATACACAGACTCTGAAACAGGGTCACACGCACACAGGGAAGCAAATACACCAATTTTCACAGACACAACACTTGTATTCTTAGGGGAAACCCTCTCTTGCCCGGATATACCTGAGATACACAAATGAGACACTCCTGCATACCTGTGTTCCCACAGGGAAACACAAATACTTATCATTTCTCCAGAAGCATGCAAATCCACACTCACCCCGGTGCCCCTGCCAGCAGCCAGCCCCAGCCCTCGACCTGCTGGGCCCAGGGCCGGGTCTCAACGCCTATTACCAGCAAGACCTCGGCACCAGGGGGTTGTGCCCCAGAGAAAAAAATGATCCTAGGCCGAGGCGGCAGCGGATCAGGGATCCCACCTGCGGCACTGCTCTCGGACAGCCCAGGTGCGATCGCTGGAGTTTGCCGGGAGCTCTCAGCCGCCAGTAGGGGGCGGCGTGCCTGTCCTGAAGTTTTATTCCCGTACAGCAGCACTGCTTGTTGCAACTTCCCTCTTTTCCTGCTTTTGAAAAGCCAACCCCAAAAATATTTATTTAAACGGGAAAACTATGCAGAATGTCTGAAAATAAACCCGAGCAGCTACTCGCCCACTGCATAAATCTATGCAAGCCAGCCCTGGTTACACACTCCACCAGATCGAGAAAGAGGCTGCCACCCCGACCAGAGCATGCCAGAGCCCTGGACATGACTTTTGCACAGATGTTGCCATAGGAATACAGCCGCTCGCCATCAGTGTCCACCAAACAGTGTTTCCAGTGGCTTGTCACTTCGGCACGAGCAGAAGCTGGAATTTTGCTCAGGCGACCTGAAGGGACGCAGAGAATGGAAGCGCTAGTCTCCCACTGTGCTCCTTTTACCCCGATCGCTTTCCATTTGTTCCCAGCCAAGGGAACTTCATCGGGAAGGTGAAACCGGATGAAGGCAGAATACAGCCCTCGAGGGCAACTGGTCTGCTCATCTGATTGCAGCCGTAAATGGAGGGCAACCGAGCGCAGAGGGGAGCGTGGAGACTCTCTGTGCTTCCACGTGCGTGTCCTTCCTCCGCCCCGTGCACTCAGCAGTCTCTCCAGGACTCAGGTCATGTCCGAAACCGGTGTTCCTACCCCGAAGCCTATCTCGAGGAAGTGGTGGGTCTATCTGGAATGCAGATGGTGATGGAGCATCACACCCAAGGAAAGGTTAAACAGAATCAGGGAGATCTGGGAAGAGAACCTGCGCTACTCAGTCCTTGGTTTTCCCCCGCACTTGTAGGAAACACCTTTCTGGCCCCTGAGCAAAGCAGGAGCCAAACAAATGGTGATGCTGCAGTCTGGACCTCACTAGCGCCCGCCTCTTGCCCGGATGTTGCCGGGACTCCGGAAGGCAGACCTGTGAATGTTTCTGTGTTGGAGGGTACAAGAGGAGGGCTTGAGCTCCTACCAGGACCCCCTCCTTTTTTCGTGTTCCTCACCCCAAGGCTACAGCTTAGGTATCCAGGCCCTTAAAACTGCCTAGGGACATTGGACAGGGATGTTCCGGTGCGTGAGGATGTACTGGGCGATGAGGGAAGGCGTTAAGAGAATGCGTTTGCACAATAGATTTTAAAAATGCTCTGGTGTGCAAAGATGGGACAGAGAGGCGCCTTGGGAGGGTGGCTGTTTTTGAATCATAGGTGTGCGGGAAGCTGGTGCATGTCCAGAGCGGGAAGCTGGTGCATGTCCAGAGCTCTTAGGGTAGCCGGGAAAGTCTAGCTACCTTGAGCGCACCTGCTCCTAAGTGGAGGCTCAGGCAGCTGAAGGAGGACCAGCCTCTCCTCTCTCACAACCAGAACCAAACTGGGTTGGTCCTGATTCCTGGAGCCGCCGCTGGCCGCGGGCCCGATAAACAGGAGAAAAGGAGGATCTCTGGGTCGCTGCTGCCCTGGTTGGGCAGTGAAGCCGAGCCTGGGCCTAAAAGATCTGGAGTCCTGGTATCAAGGTCAAGACCTTGTGCACTGCCTCCTGGGAGTCTCTTCTTAAAACTCAGTGGGACCCTGTGCGGCTGGAAATGGTTTCTCCTGGGTTGGGAGCGATGAATGGGGTGGGGTGGGGTGGGGTGGGGTGGATACGGGGCGGGAGTCGGATTGAAGAGGGTCAGAATGCGTGCCCTACAGTGGGGTGAATTTTCCATTCGCTTTCCTCACCATCTCAGCAGCAGGGCTTCTCACCCTGCTCCAGGCAACCCAGCAGTTCAGAATCTAAAACAGTGTGGATGCGCTCTAAAAAAAAAAAAAGAAAAAGAAAAAAAGCCCCTTCGCGAGGCCCAATAGGACCCAGATGCTCCCATAATTTCCCTGTCTTGGAGGACCCACAAACCTGAAAGGCTGGCGCAAGGACCGACACCTAGGAGGAGACATTCTTTAGGATGCCCCCAGCCCTTGCCAGGGCTAAATCCAGAACTCTCAGTGGCGCAGCCCATCCGGAGTGCCAGGCTCGTCCTCGCTCGCGGAGTAGGGTGTACCGCCCGACTCTGGCTTGCCTGTGGGGAGAAATTCCGCGGCTTGACTGCGCTGGGCAGCTGAGTCCTGGTGCTCCACCCTAGGCCTACGCGACAGGCTTCCTGGGGCTAGTAGCCCGCGCGCTGCTCCGGGCCTGAGGGCGGACAAACCGGGGACACGGGGCTGGATAGCCCTGTTCCTCTGGCTTTCTGAGCTGTCAGTCAGGTGTAGGACAGGACCTGAGAGCCAGAACGCTCGGGACGCGCCGTAAATGACAGAATCATCTGCAACTCTGTCATCCCCGATAGCTGTCCTGGCTCAGGGCACTCCACCCTGCCCGTCAGCACCAGGCCCCACAAGCCCGCACCTGGGATCCTGCAGTCTGGAAGCTCAGGGCTGCGGCAGTTGCACTGGCCCCTGACTTAGAGCCGCATGAAGTCCTGTACAGACAATGTCCAGACAGGAAGGCCAGAGCGGCAGCGGGGGAGGACCTTGCAGAGCTGCTGGCCCTTACTCCCTTTTTTCAGGCTATTGCAGGGGCTGGCGTTGACCTGCCCAGCCAGGCTCTCTCTCTCAGTAGCTCAGAAGCTCACTGCTGGCAGAATTAACCTGTAACCCGCCTGTGGGCCTTGGAGACGCAGCTCGGTGTTGACTTCGTGGTCCCCAGAGTAATAGAGCATAACTGCCATTTCTTGAATGCTTGCTATGCGTCAGGCACTTTACATACCTGGTATCTGTTTAGGTCTCACAGAGGCTACGCAAAGAAGTTATTCTTACTGGTAGATGAAACTGGGACGCCAGGTTCGGGAACTTGCCCAGAATCACACACGTTACAGCGGCAGGACCAGCATTTG